TGGGTGTAGTATAGGAATCAGAGTGTTTAATTAGATAGTCTCCTAGTAGATTATAGGCATGGCAGCTAGTGTAGAACTCTTGGGTGGACTACTTAAATAGGTAACCAAAAGTTACACGTGTGGCTAGTTGCACACTTACCTTGTACAAATCACATGCATTGACTAAAAACACAAATAAAGGTGGTAGCAACCGATAACATCGGCTTTAAAAAAAAAAAAAAAAAAAAAAAAAAAAAAAAGAAATACGTATTCAAAGCTTATTAGGCTCTAATAACTATCAAAAAAAATTTTTTTTTTGAATGCACGATTTTTGAGAGGTAAAAGGCACGTAAGAGCCAATCAAATTCAAGAATTGGCTTGTAGATCATTCTAGAATGCAATTTCCTAATTTGGTATATTCCCGGACTGCAGTATAGTTACCTATCCTTTTTGTACTGGTTCCCAGGCCATTACACATTCCAGAGTACATCATCTGCCAGTAAGATGCAAGGGGCCTTCATTGTTAACTATTTATCTACTTTTAGAACACTAATACAGGCTACCCTTGCAAAGTTCACCAAGACCCCAGTACTGACTTCACAGCATATCTCTAGTACTTTTAGTATACTCCTGCTTTGAACCAAGACTCCCAATCCAGATAGCTCAGAAGGACTGTAACCTGTTCTTGGTATATTAAGGCCAGCCCAATATCCTTTTTCTCTGATCTGAAATCTGGCGACTTGATTGGTGATACCTCTCACCCGAGGTTCTTGCCCACCTGAGTCCTTCACATTGGTATCCATTTCCTAGGTCTAGCCTTTACAGTAGTACCATTAATATCTGTATTATCTCTCTGCTCAGATTTCCAAATGAGCTTCAGCTTCTTAGTTCTATAGATTTACACAGCCCAAGGACTTATTTTAGGTTTGCACTGCCCAGTACTAGTTTGCATTCCTTTGTGTAACCACAGACCTTGTTCCAAAGGACAATGTCACATGACTGTTACACAGATGTCCCAGACCTGCCAGTCATACTGGTGTGACTATAGTTACAGGTATCCTATCCCAACTGATTGACAGAATGCTATCACTGTAATACTGTCTATATATTATATAGGTGATTATTTAAATTTCACTGTTGGTAGGTTTTGAACTCACAACTTACCACTTGGGGGTATGACAACTTATCCACTTCACTAAGTCACCACACTCTTTTGTATTGGTTTTCATTTGTTTTAATTTTATTTCTTTCTATTTGAATTCTTCTTCTTTAGTTCTTAATTTGCTACTATTTCTTTTTTGATTTCTCTTCTTATTTTGCATCTGTCTCTTTATAGTGCCTTTTTTTTCTTCTGATATCATTTTATACCAGTTATTCTCCTTTTTGCTGATTCTTTGTATTGCTTTATTTCTGTCATACTCATAATCAAAATCAATTTCTATTTATAGATTTTTCCTTTTAAAGACTTCTTTAACATTTTTGACATATATGTTATTTCTTAATAACCATCTAATAAATTTTATGTATTTTTTTTTGTTTTTCTTGATATATTGTGTGCTGATATATTCATAAATAGGCTGTTGTTCTAGTTACAAATTCTCTTGCTTGGGGTCTATATGCTCTCTTCAAGAGGTTTTTTTACTATGTTGATTTCTTTTTTGAATTCTGGTTTGATGTCTTCTTGTTCTTGCTTCTTTTTTTCTTTTTTTGTATTTCTTTTTTGACTAAATAAATTCTCTTTTTCTTGATTATTATTTATCTAACTTAGCTTTATATTTACTTCTTTTTATATGTTTTCTGCATTATTCTAAACTTTCTTTTTAACTATTTTTTCAAATTTCTGTTTTTTTTTCTATATTATTTTGTCTGTTTTTTCTTATTTTTGTTTTAAGTTTATCGATTATTATTGAATTTCTTTTCTTTTGTCTTATAAGTGTCTTGTTGTAGATTTTTGTATTATAATATTTTTGTTTTGTTTGATAATATTAATTCTCTTTTCTGACTATAGAACTGTTCTATTATTTTGTTATTATATTACTATTATATTATTTATATTAACAAACCTTCTGTTATTTTACTGTTATTTTACTATTATTTTACTGTTATTTTACTATTATACTACTGTTATATTACCATTATTTGGCAGATATAAGATAGAATAATGACAGATTTTTTTTTTGTTATTTATCTATTATTCATTCTTTATTTATTTGTTTGATCTATAAGTGTTGTATAAGACTTTAATACAAAACTATGATAAGACTATTAGGTACAGAAGACTAAGAAATTAAGAAAATGAAATCTTATTTGAAAATTCCTAAGTAAAAAGGTAACACAACTTTTAATAGTACTATTAGACTAATGAAAGTTCACAAAACACCTTCATAGAAACAGGCAGATAAACCAGATAACAAAGATGTATAAAAGAACATATGACTAACCAGATTATCAGAATTATTAAAGAAAAAAGATACTAAGGTATATCATATCAGGTTATCTAAATTGAGAATCTGAGAAGTCTATTAATTCTAAGTTGTAATTAGTAAAAGATGATAAAGAAGATATTAGAAAGATAGATATTAAGGTTTGGATAAACTTTACAAGTATAAAAATAGTGTAATATAGTAGTTTAAAATTAACACTAACTGTAAGTATTAAGTAACTATAATGTATTACATAAAACTAGATTAACTGTATATGAGATATGAAAAGCTCTAGTAATAATACTTTTGAGAATACACTGCATAAAATAAGGTATGAGTTCTAAAAATATAGATAAGTATCTAGACCTTCTTGACTGACATGTATATCAAAGATGATTTAGTGATACAGTAAGGATTACAGTACAGAAGGTTTAAATAAGTAATGCTCCTAGTTGGATTGCAAGTATGGTAACTAGTGTAGAACCATTGGTAAACTACTTAAATTAGACACCAAAAGTATATATATGACTAGTTGTACTCTCTAATGTAAAGGTGACTCTCTTAAGGCCTTGGCCATGAGTTCCTATATTCTAATTACTGAATGAAAAACTCCAACCTTAGAGGCTAGTTTAATATATATAAAAAAACAAAAAAAAAACAACAAACAATTATGATTTCTGTCTTAGAATATGAGCAAAACATATAATTCTGTTAATTTAAAACTTTTTATAAAATCTTTTAAATAAATAACAATGTCTCAACCTCTCATTAATATACTTACTAATCTTCTTATTGACTGCCAAAATCGGGTTATATCTAACCTTGGTCTTAACAATTTTTTATTTTTTTTTTAATGTTAAGGTGAGTACTTGCGACCTAAGTTTGTATATCAAAGATGACAAGACTACTAATACGTATATTAAAATGTATATTAATACAGGAATCGTGATTCCTATAGTTTTATAAAAATTTTTAAATTTAAATTGCTTGTAACTTTTTATCTAATTTTACCGGTCTAACTAGAGTTAGAATCACAAAAACTAACTCTACACTTTTATTAGAAGCTCGCAAGATGTTAGCTTAATAAAAAATTGACTTTATGTAGTCAGGAATGTTGATTTTTATATTCATTATGGATTTTATTAATACAAATTCTCGTTTATTCGTGGATCACTAATTAAGCATTATTATTTCTTATACGAAGGTACTATAAACACTATAATCCTTATCAAGGTCTATATTTTTCTTTACTACAGTCCTGAGGATTTCTCAGTACCTTAATAGAAAGATAAAACAACGATACATTCAGTTCATCGATAATTATTACTATCTTTATTATACCTAATATAAGAAAATGAGATATCATGCTTATTTTATGATACATAACACAAAATAACTAATATGTTTTGAATTTAAAAAACAAATATCTTTTTTGGACACAATAAATAGAACCGATATAGTAATAAAAGACGGAAAAGAAACGAAAATGAATAATTTTGAAGGTTGAATTTTTTGTTTTGTTTAGCGGGTAGAATTTCAAGAATACATTGAAATTTCCAGCTTCATTCTCGTTTATTCATGCACTTTGTAATAATTGGAGCTGTAGTCAAGAGCAGACAAGGAATAAATTCAAATTTGACCTGCAAATAAATGGAAGCATATTATATCTATCCTTTAATATGCAACAGCAGTAAGTTGAGGCATAAAGGGTGCTATATAATCCAGTCAGTCAATATCGCACAAATCGAACAGGGTTATAATAAATTAACATTTAACTCACCAGTAATATATTCCTTGAATTCTGGGCCCAATGGACCGGATGGAAATGCGTAGATTATATTGTTTATATTACCATCTGGAAAAACGGTTCAAGAAGTTCAGAATTTAGATTATTAGATTTAAACCAAATGAATGAAATGAATAAAAAATAACATACGTTCATCATGACGGATAGGTAAATTTTCATTATGTCTCCAGTTTCCATCAACCACAAATTTAAATTCATGATGTTTAGTGCGATCAATATTGACAACAGCAACAAAGTCATTTGACTTAGGTGAAAAATGCATTTCATAAGCAGTTGCTATATAAAAAGTTAGTGAGTATATATGTAGTACGTTATAAGAAGTGTTTAATACAATTTGTACCTTGCCAGTTATCAAAATCGCCAGTAACGAAAACTCGGTTTCCGCCATGTTGCCAATGGAACTACATATTAAAAATAAATACCATGAGTTCAATATTTCTAATTTAATTAGTTAATTAACTAATTAATTATGAATAAATATTTTCACTTACTTCAATAGGTACTATATCTAACTCATTTGTTTTAAATAAATTTTTTTTTTCCTCGATAGTGGTAGTGATGCCGTCTTTAAGGACTTTCTCTGTTACTTTAATATCTCGTGTAATTGGTTCACTTGAAACGGATGTTTCGCTATCTGGTTTTAATTCAGAGAGGGTTCCAGTGATGATAATATTCTCTGGTTTAGACACTGAGGTGAGGTGTGTCATAGTTGGGACAGAATCCTTGATAGGCTCTGGAATTTCACTGTTCTTTTGCAGTTTCTTTGATTGAATATTTTTTTTAGCATGCTTTTCATGGGTGGATACTTTTTTTACGGTTACTTTATCTGGAACTTTAAATCCTTTTCCTTCAACAAGAGATACCAAGCATAATAAAGTAGTTAAAATTAATTCCAAGGTCAAGGTTAAAAGCTTATCGGCCCAATAGATTGGAGACAAATGTTTTGTAAGAACCATTTTAATTACAGAGAAGTCAAATATAAAAAGAAAGGCAGATAAATAACAATGTTCTTTTGTCCACAAGATAATTATTAAGAGTATTGGTCGCCAATTAGAAGGGAATTTATATTTAAATACATAAGCTGTTTATATCGATAGTTTATCACGATGTTTACATTCATTGCCCAAAAGAAAACCCCGCATTTTTCATACAGTATATAAAATGATAAATTAAAAATTCTAATTGAAATCATAACCAGATTTTTTGCACGATTTCATATAGATGCATTTTGACAACTTGAGATATTTTGATAACGAAAAGAATAGGGATTAGTAGTACAATTATAGATAAAACAGATAGGCTGTTTCATTCCATTTGTTGTTGAGATATACATTATTTTTTTAGACCTTTGATCTAAATTAATATTACTATTTTGGTTTACAAGCAATCAAAAACAAAGGTAATTATATTTAAGCCATCGATCCAAACCAAGAAGAATCGACTTATGGTAAGTACAAAGATTTCCAAATTCTGTCGATGAGTTATGCAAGATTTACTAGAATGAAACCGAAAAAGACTAAAATCAACATTGCATTTAAATCAATTGCTAATTCAATCTCTACATACTTAGAGATGGCAACGCCATTTCGTACATGCCAATGGATCGTTCCTTATAAATAATTCACATAAATGATGAATCATTCTGACTTCAACAATTTTCTGAAAATCCAAAAGTAATCTCGTGTTCTTAACACAAAATTACCTATAGTTATATATATTTTAGATCTTAAAGATACGTAAGATTATTTTTTGAATTACCGGTTTTTTTTTTCATCTATTATTTACATTCATGACGGTAATTCTACAAAGGTATTGGTTTAAAACCTGTGTTGCTGCGAAGTAGATCAAATACTTGCATTAGTATAAGAAAAAAAATGGGTAAATCAATTGTCAGGGTAACTTATTTATACGTTTTAAAGTATGTATTTTTTGAGAATGTTGCTTTTTCACTAATAAAAAATATCGTTTGTCATTATAGCTTTCAACGAAATGTCAAGTTAGGATTTCAACATCTGAACTGAAAAAAATATCAATTTTATAATCTAACAGATGGGTGACCGACTTATTCAAGTTGCTTTAGAAGTTGCTATTTAGCGTTAGCTACAAGTAATCAATTTATTAGGGAAATAAGCGCTATCGTACGTAATCGGGCATACGAGTCACCCAATTAGAAATGGGTGACCCTTTTTAGTCTGATATCTGGTTTTAGTTCCGGGTACTCGGTTGGAAAAGATGTTTGACCAGACGAGTAACGGTTAGAGATTTTCAAACCGGTTTGGATCCCTAGTCAAAGTTCCTGTTCAAAAAGATGCTTAGAAAGCGAAATATGCCTACTGTTTATTGGACCATATAAAACTATATTGTAGAATGAGATAACTGGGGACGTTTTTCCTTTTTACGTTAGATATAAATAACCTTTTATTTAATTGGACTAAAAAACACGCTTATAGCAGGGACCTGTGGATCTTGTGATTTGCTGCGATCTTAAGGAATAAACTTTTAAATATATTGGTATTGGTGTATTTCTTAGAAACACCGTAAATCGTAAAATCTACAGACCCGTGAGAAAAAGATTTAATACTTGAATGAAAACTTGAATGAATACTTGAATATGTTTCTTTGGCATAATAAGTTTTGATCTATATTGTATGTATATCGTATCTAATATTAATGAATTTAAGTTTATTAGTGTTAGTAAATAAATAAATATCTATATATACGATAAATTAAACTTTTTTGTATATATATATTTAGCATAGGTCAAGTTGACTGATCAGCAAGAAGTTTGATTGGCTAAAATTAATTATATTACTATTTCTTTTCGATATCCCGATTATAGATTTATAGATGCTAGTGAAACTAAATAATGCTGGTGAAACTGGTGGCTATCTAAAATCTGATTGGCTGTTATATTAAATTTCACCAGTTTCACCAAGAATTTCACCAGCATCTATAATCCCGATATAGTGTAAAACAGATTGATAATTTTGATCATCTAACTTGTGCACATGATATTAGAAACTTTAAATAAAAAAAAAAACTAATGATTTTTACTAGTCGCTTCGTTCTAAAAATTAAAAATTTAAGAAATATTATATTCATAACACCCATGTTATATAACACCTATATAGTTTTAATGAGTTAGGGTCCAACTTTAAGATAAAGGTGTTTTTTTATTATACAATATATATTAGATATAAGGTCTCGATAGGTCCCGGTTTCTGTTCTCGTGAGGTTTTTTGGGGCCCTGACCATTTTTGCTTAGAGTGCCCGATCCCGTTTACTTAGTACGTTTTTGAGATATTACATAAGGTGTTATATGACATAGGTGTTATAAATATAATTTATACTAACTTTGTGTTACATGCTGGTATTGTCAGAATCGCTCCTAAGGCAAGTTGGTGAACAACTGAAAGTTAAGTTTTTAAAGTACAGTCTGGCGAAATTTTAAGCCATATCAATTATAAAAAAAGAAATTTTCTCCACTTTCAAGTTGAAAGTTCTATAAAAAATCCGGGTAATGGTGGTTTTTTCAATACAAATAAACAACTGATCATAACGAACTTTACCTATGCTTTAATTTATAAGCTTTTTTATATGAAGCTTCATTTCTTAGTGTTTTTAAAGTGAAAGATTATGTAATTTGATTGGTTGATTATCACGGGTAACTAAAGTAGATCTATAAAAGTTAACCAATAATTCACGCGTATTTTCCACGTAAATACATGTAAACAATCTTTTTAAATATTTAAGACGACGAAACTTTGTTAAAAACCTTTCTTTGACAAACACTTTTTTGAAATTATCTTTATATTGACATTTTTTTTTAAAAAAAGACGACGAATTTATGAAATTAGAGCATTTTGACTTACTACAAAGTGTCATTTACTATTGTTTTTTGACATTTCTTATTGTAAAATCATATAGATAAAGTCTAGCCCATCTTCCTGTGAAAAAGATGGGTTAGACCTTATTTATATGATTTTACAATAAGAAATGTCGAAAAATAAATAGTAAATGACGCACTTTGTAGTAAGTCAGAATGCTCTAATTTCATAAATTCGCTGCAATGTATAATAAACATTTATTTAAACCTACTTTTGTTCAAGACGAAACTTTGAGTGTTTTACAATAAAAAGTAATCTTTTGTATGTAAACAACAAAATTTCATGGACATGCGATCGTTATTTCTTATTTAAAAATTACTTTTTTGAGGTAAAAAATCGGTTATTCATCTTCCTTTTCGAAGTAACTATGAAGCCTTGGCTTTGCATTCATAGGTTTTTTGTTTTGGCTTTTTTAAGTATCTTGGCGGGAACCAAAAAGCTTTAGCGTAACGTTTGGCGGCGTTTTACTTTTTGTATACTAACACTGCTTTTAATTGGAAGCATAAAATCAGGTTTGAACTTTATCTTCGATATTATAGGTTATATAATATGTTAAATGTGAGTAGTTAATTATACATTATTGCAAAATTTTGCTTATATTCAAATACAGTTAAACTTCTTTAAATGTACGCACTTAAGATCAGAGGTAAGCATGTATTTAGAGGTATGCAATTATAAAAACTTTAACTAGCTGATTTAATATAAGTAGTGCTCCGAATCGGGTCGGGTTCGGGTTAGAAAAATCTGATCCGAAAATTTCGGTCGGGTTCGGGTTGAGCATTAACCCGACCCGAAATTGTCCAATTAGAGATGTTCGAAATAAGCATTTTATATGTTTTTTGGGGGTTCTAATAGCAAGTACATATGTTTATAATGGCAAGTACATATTTT